TCACATTCATAGACCTCCAGGAAAGGGCTCAAGGCCCCATTTCCATCCCAATCTGAATGTTGCCTTGCCATTGCCTCCCAGGAGTCACAGTGAGCGCTCATTGAGCACCATGTGCTGTGTGCTATGCCTCTCTCCCAGCCATGCCGGGCACATCTGGACAGAGGTGGGGAAGCCCAGGTCTCTGCTGAAGGACTAAGGATTTCTTTAAAATCCAAAGATAGGAGCTACAATGGCAGAACAGCTAGGGCACAAGGGCATCCTCTGCAAGGAACGGACCTCATAGGTGTCCCAAGCTACACGCCGCTGTGTGACTGAACAGGCTGCCTTTCAGAAGCTGCTCCGGCAGCACACTCTGGCGAAGAGCAATTCTCCTTTAGTCACTTGTCAGCACCCATCACTGCACTGCCGCACAGAGCTGACACATCGACTGTGGGAGACAGCTCCCAGTGACCACAGAGTCTCCAGAGCGAAGCCAGAAAAGCCCTCTGGCTGGTACTGTGGTGACAGAGAGAAGCCGCCCTAGCAGTTTCAGATAAAACTTTCAAAACTCAGGTAGGATAAGGAGATACTTGTATTTTATAATTTTTTCTTTTCCAATAATCACATATACTTTAGACCTGAAAGAACCTCAGATCCACTCCTGAGTCCACACCCAAGAGAATAGAAAGCAGACACACAAGTACGCTGTAGTATTTGCAACAGCTGAAAGGTGGAAGAAGCAGGCAGTGTCCACGCAGGGCGGAGTTGGTAAAACAAGACCCATGCAGACAAAGACACAGCGCTCAGCCTTAGAGGGAAAGGAGGTTCCAACGGATGGACGGACCGTGCAGGCACTCTGCTGATTTTCACAAACCAGACGCCAAGTGTCAGACAGCACCGTCTCAGTGCTCTTGGTGAGAGGCCCGGAGGGGTCAAACTCAGGAGACAGGAAGCAGAGCCGTGGCTGGCTAGGTCATCACTGTGCAGGGCGGCGGAGTGTGGGGTTGGGAAGATGAAGAAGCTCCAGAGACTAAGATGAGGGGGTCATGGTGAGGACCGCACGGTGGTGTGAATGTCCTCTACTCCACAGAGCCATGCACGCTTAGCGTTTCAATGATAAATTGTGTTATTACAACAATGGAAAAAAGGGCCTCAGGGAGGCCTTTACAAAGAAGGAAACTGAGGTTGAGGGAGGCAAATTAGAGTGCTCAAAGGCACACAGCCAAATAACTCAGCGGATTAAAGTGCCTGCAAGTAGGCGCAGGGGCCAGGGATTCGATCCCTGGGCCTGCCGTGCCAGCCCCGCCCCCAGGGCTGAGACAGCAATTGAGACTGGACGTGGCGGCATGCACCTATAATCCCAGCTCTTGGGAGGCTGTAAACAGGCAGATCACTACGAGTCTGGTCTGGTAGTGAGACCCTGAACACCCTGTTGACCCTTCCCTAGAATAAAAAACAAACAAAAACAAAACAAAACAAACCAGCACTCTTTTACTGCCTCATACAATGTCAGCCCACATACTGGGCTGTGCCAGGTGAGGGTCTAAGCACCTCATAAATACTCACGCAACCCTCACATGCGCCCATGAAACTGGAAACTGAGTCATAAGGAATGCATATCATCTGCCAAGATGGTGCCGGCAGCGAGCCCTGCATGGCTCCATGTTTCCCTACGGCGTTCTCTGTCAGATCTAATTTTCATGTCCTCCCCTCAAGGCAGGACCTCTGCCCCCTACACAGTAAGCTACAGAAACGGCTCTGACTCTTCACCCACCCCTCGCCACACCCTCTGTAATGTAACTCTGTGGCTCATCTACCAAAAGGCCAAATCTGCTTCCTCGTTCTTTGATCCCAGCCTGACCTTGCCAGAGTGGCCTGTGGAATGTGGCAGATGTGCGGAGGAGAGGGCGTCAATTGCAGCCCACAGGAAACCCTGATGCTTCCCTTCCTCAGCACAGTGAGAGGATGGCTGAGGTTAGCCTGCTGGGGAGTGGGACAGCCCAGGCAGGCCAGCACAGGCCACCCGAGACCCAGCCCCGAGCATGTGACAGAACCCTGTCAAGAGCAGTTGAACTTGGCCTGGATAGGAAAAGACCCAAGGCTCTCCACACAGGTCAGCCACTTACATTCTAGAAGTTTCTAGGGAGGCTTATATTTTGATTACAGAAGGCAGGGCCAGTCAGCAGGTATTCAAGGCTGTGTGAGGAACATGGCAGGAGAAAGAAGGAAGTGTGGACTGTCTTTAGAGAGCAATGAGTCATTCATTTTGACTGTAAACCACTTGTGCTTGTGGGGCAAATAGAAAATAAAGCTGGAGAAGTAGGGGAGGCTGGCTTGGTATTTTCTGCCCTGTTCAGTAGGAACTGAGAAACCTTCTACATAGAACCTGTTTGTTTTCTCCTCACAATGCCATGATGGGATGTTATGATTTCCACATCATCCGGGAGCATGGAGAGGAAGGAGCGAGTCACAGGGAATGTGCTGAGCAGTGACTGCTGGCACCTGGGGGAGAAAGGCAGGACCAGGCACTGTTCCCAGCACGTTGACTCTAAAATGCCTGTTTGGGGCAGATACATAGAGAACTCCAAGGAGACTGAATAAATCATTGGGTGAAAGCAGGAGCAGCGTGGTTGGGGGCATCTGGTTTCCTCATTTCCTGTATGAAATGCTCTTAGATTTTCTCCAGCATGGCGGACAGATAGAATTCCTGTCAGTGACTACCACTGAGGTTTCCTTGCTGGTACTCAGCTGTAAAGTCAGAAAAAGAACGTTGATACTCTTTCACTCAACAATGCTGCATTTTCTCCTATTTAAAATTTTGACTGAGCATTCAAATTTTAGTGGTCTTTTATCTTTAAGCTTTTTTCAATCTTATTTTAATCCCCTTAAAATTTCATTTCCTACAGTTTACTGACTTTCATTTATCTTAATTTTTTCCACAGTTTAATTATCTAATCTATTTAATTTTACATTTTGTTTTGTTGTGTGAAATTCAAAATCTACATTTAGGAAGACAAGAAGAACAGTAACTGATATCTATTGCATACCTGCTATGTGCCTGGAATCATGTATGGCTACATGTACATGTCTGTGTGCATGTGTATGTGCCGAGGTTAAGTAATCAGACCAAATTTAAGATAAGGACAGAGCTGGCAAAGGAAAGTAAAATGAACTTCACCTTTCACAGATTGCCTTTGTTCATTTCTGGGTCAATGCTAAGTAATGAGATGAAGATAATAAACATCCTGTTTCCCAGAACTGTTTGAAAACACTGTGTGAAGAGTCCTGTTTCTGCTCAAAACAGAAGATCCATTTTCTGAATGTCATGAAAGAAAAGCACAGGTGGGGGGCCAGGGAGATGGCTCAGTGGAATAAGCGCTTCCGTGGTAAGTGCCGGGGCCTGGTAAGCGCAGGGGCCTGAGTTCAATCCCCGGTTCCACAAAAAGAAGAAAGGAAGAAAGGAAGAAAGGAAGAAAGGAAGGAAGGAAGGAAGGAAGGAAGGAAGGAAGGAAGGAAGGAAGGAAGAAAGAAAGAAAGAAAGAAAGAAAGAAAGAAAGAAAGAAAGAAAGAAAGAAAGAAAGAAAGAGAAAAGTACAGGTGGATGTAAACCAGAGGAGGACTCCAGTGTGAGCCCGACTCACTCACCTGGAGCCCTTGGCAAGTCACTACTTAGTCTGCATCACTATTTTCTCAGCTGTAAAATCCAGAATAATAAAGGCCTCTAACAAGGCCACGATGTGAACCAAGGGGAGACTCCCCACCAACGTGTACACCCAACGCCTGTCTGGGGATGTAACTAGTATTAGTTTCCCTTTTCTTCCCCAAAAGTTTCAAGTCCTAGAATTTCTCACCAATATCTGAGCTTCCTGCACAATGTCAACAGTTCCCAGTTACGCTAAGAAGCAACTTTAGAGAATTTGAGTCAGTGGGATCTTAGTAGCTAAGAAGTAAGGTACAAAATTCATTTTTTTTTTCCACATTTCTCATCAGTGAGTAACCGACTGCCACCTAAAGGTTAATTGCCAGCCTAAGAGGCATGAACCCACTAAAATGATGAGTGAGATACTGTGTGCCGTCCACCAGTCAGCCAGCGCTGCAGGGAGCCTGCAGTCCGGACCAAGGCTGACTCCCTGACAGCAACTCTGAGCCCATCCTCACCTCTGATTCATTCACTCATTGCACAGTGGTGCCGGAAAGCTCAGCAAAATCACACACACACAGCACAAAGGCAACGATTTCCCTAGGCAGGGTCTTAGAACGGCACGCCTGCAAGTAGGCAAAGAATCAAGAAAGACCACTGTTTTCTTTCAGCGTGACCCGTCCATTCGTTCCTCCAACGTCTTCCCCTCAAAACAGTTAATACCATCTCTTACAAAAGTAAGGATTAATTTGTCCTTCTTGAAATGTGAATAAATGGTAAATCTGTTTCCTAGGGGTTTTATCTATACCCACCACTGATCAATATTAAGAATCTACAAAACAATGAGAAAGAGCAACTTCAATCACAGAGCTTTGTGTTGCTCCTAAGTCAAACTAGTAGCCTACCACTGGCACCACAAGAAGGACATGTCTGTCAGGTAACCCTAAAATTCCTTTATACAGTCCCCAAAAGTGTTATTTCACAAAGTAGGTACTCAAGAACCAGATTAGACTAAGAGGGCTTCATTCTGTTGCCCTCCTGTCACCACTGCTCCCAGCACTGTCCCTGCAACTAAGCCACTACCATTATCCTCCTGGGACTCTTATCTGATGTCCTGGGAAGCTGTTCACAACAGCAGTTTGAGCAACAGTGAGCCCTGCTGACAGAGACCAGCCTTCAATGTGACACGGAACCCAGTGCCACTCCTTGAAACAGTAGCTACCAACAAAGCACAGGGAGGTCACCGCAATGCCACCTGGAGCTCAGAAAGGAAAGCCCTTCCATGTCGGCCAGGCTTTTTTCACCTGTTTGCAGCATTCCCCACTGAACTTGACCAAGAGTATTCGGGGAGGATCCCTGAGGGAGGACTCCTGGGACTCACCTGAGATCCATATCTCCATCCACCCAGAAGGTGAAGATGTTAGAGACGGTCCCCCCGGGGCAGCACCCCATGATGAGAACAGCGATCCCTTGCACTGGTTTCAGAGAGAAGCTGATGGCCAGGAGGTAGGCTGTCAGGGGCATAAGCCCAAACTGGCAGACCAGTCCCACTGCAACACCCCAGGGTCTCCTGAGGTGCCACCAGAGCTTCTGGATGTCCACAGAGCACCCAAGAGAGAACATGACCATGGCTATCATCACAGCAGACCCCACGGTGAAGACCAGTCCCAGGCTCCCATGCGCCTCTGGCATCCCAGGCAGCTCCTCCTCGGAGCTGTCGGCAGGGCAGGCAGAGCTGCTGGAGCAGTTGGCTGTCATCTCCACCGAGCATCCCAGTGAGCCGACACTGACAGTGACAGCTGTGCAGGTCTATCCTGCCACACTTCATAACAGTGCCACCAAGTCAGGCGTGGAGAACGGCCGCAGTCGCAATTGGCCGGCCAGGTGACTCATCCTACTCTGATCGAGGCATTCACAGGTGGCATCATAAAAGCTGTGAGCAGAGGCCTAGGCGTGCGATGCACCGTTCTCAGCAAGGCTCTTTCCCTCTGCTCTTACTCCCAGTGAACACTCAGGAGAAACGAGACAGCGGCGTCATCGTCTAATGGAGTGGCCAGGTTCTGTCACCAGCGTGACACTGCACTCCAGGAAAAGAGGTTGAGTGCAGAGACATTATTTTTCCAAAGCCGGTCGGGATCTAAAGAGCCAGGAGGAACGGTGATGCGAGACCGGCTAACTCCGGAAAAAACAAGGCAGTGCTGCCAAAGCCACGCCTCCTTGCGTGAGCTAAGCACTGCTGTGGGAAAAATTAAAGCAAAAGGAGGCTGCTTAAGGAAACGTCAGGAGGGGATGAAATAATCCCAAGGGACCTTCAGAACTGGCCCGAGCACCTCTTCTTTCTGCTACATGAGAATTTATCTCTACAGCCAATAGCTAAACACCTGTAAGAATAAGATGGTATCAAGCAGAAGTTGTCTCATGAACCGTGGAAACTGGGTCCTGAAGCTAAAATAATGTCAGAGAGCTGTGGCCTTCTTGTGCAGATCCCGGGGCCCCTGGATATGTCTAGGAGCCCTGCCTGGTCTGGAAGCCAAGGACAGGCAGGCTCTGAACACACAGCCCAGGACCCTGAGTACATTGTCACCTGGTGACAGAACCAGACAAGAACAATAGGTGCCCCTGAAATAAACTTCCAAGCAGCAGGGCCACGCCCTCCCCACAGCCCTGTGTTTGTGGGAAAGCTGGTCACGGGGACAATCTATCTGCGGCTCAGCTGCCCCAAGAGGGCTCGAGCTGCAGCATGTGGTCCAGGATTAGCAAACTCTCTTCCTGTCCGAAGGTACTGGGCATGTGTGCTCACACGAACACACGCTGGCTTGCATTGTCAGTACAGTCTGACTGTGTGAGAAAACTACCTTAGGCAGCTCTGGAAGGCTGGCAGGAGGGGCAGCCCCAGAGGCGGGAGCTGCACTGGACAGCTCTGCACCACCCCCACCCCAACCCCACCCCCGTGTGAGCGGGGCCGCGTGCGGGTGCCGGGTGTGCAGATGCTTTACCCGCAGGTGACTATATCTGATGGGGTCAGACGCTTATTCTACTTAGTAAGTGAAGGCAGCAGATGCTTCTGTCTGGTAATGTCAAAAAGTCCCACAGCAGACCCTGGATCCCTTATGAGTCACCTGAGTGCCCTTCCCTGTTATACAAATTCAAGTTTAGTAAGTGCCTCAATGCTGGTGAGGATGACCTAACAGGAACCTTTGTGATTTGTGGGGTGTTTGGTATTGACAGCTGGGAGTAGAGACTAAATTTGCCCAAGGGCCTTGAGGAGCCAGGTGACCTTGGCCACTCCCTTTTGAAATTTAGTGTTACCAAAAATTCTCAAATAAAACAGATGTGCACAGCCATGACCCCAGCACTCAGGAGGCTGAGCTGTTAGGATCCCGTTAGCAGCCAACCTGTGCAATTCAGGGAGATCTGTCTCCAAGTAAAATTGAGGAGGTGGGGAGCAGTGGTAGAGCACTTGCTAGAATGTGTGAGGTCCTGGGTTCAAAAAAAACCTCCTCCCCTGTAAATAAGATCACTCCAACTGAGGTCTGCTCTCGGGAGCACATATCAAGGTCCTGTTAGCCCTCAAGAAAAAAAGGGGAGCTCTCTCTGGACCCCCCCACCCCCACCCAGAAGGCACAAGGTGATACAGGGTGCAGTGGACAGCCCCTGAGGGAAGCGACCCTGACAGCCCAAGCACTGGCACCACGTGCAGGGCCAGGACCAGAAGAGCTCGTGGTCTGGGCAAAAGCCACAGCACCGAGGCCACAGCAACCCAAGGTCCCAACAGGAGCAGCAGTGGTGGACTCAGTGCTATGGGGCTGGGAAAGTCACTGTGGTGGAGAAGGCTGACTCCCACCACTCTGGGCCAGAGGATTCAAGGCACCAGTTACACAATGCCTCAAGGCGCTGCAAGGCCTGTGAGGTGGCCCCGGAGGCCGAGGCCCGGGGCCATGCTCTGTGCCCAGGGTGACCAATACAGAGGCCAAGATGCTGGAGCCCAGTCCTGGAGCCCTGCGCACAGGAACTCTGGGGGCCAGGCAGAGGAGGCCAGAGAGGCGGTGGGTGGCGGGGTCCTCTGAGGGGAGGACAGCCACTAGCGTGCGCAGCTGGGCACTCCATACTCCCCAACCACCGCGGAGACGTGGCCCACGCAGCCCTGTCTCCGCTCCCGCCTCCTGTGCTGGCAGAGTAAGGCGTCTGCTTTCCTCTGGGGACGCCCGTGCCATCAACCCAGCAGGCCCTACACTGCAGAGCACCGAGGACGAAATATCCCCCTCCCGGGAAAACCAACCGGGGCCTGTGCCTGCAGGCTGGGAACCATAGGCCAAGGGGAAGAGAAATAAACGTGGCTGCTGAATCGCTAGTCCAACTCAGAAAATGAGCACAAAGAGGAAGTTCTAGAACCTGGAAAGGCATACAATCAGTTTGCTAGAGGTGCCAGGCCTTGTGGCACCTGTAATCCCAGCACTGGAGGCTAAGGGGCTACATAGTGAGTTGAAGCCGGCCTGAGTTACTAGAGAAAGTCCTTATCTTAAAAACAAACACAAACACAAACAAAATGACTTGGTAAAATGGTCACCATCGCTAATAACTGTGTAAAAAAATAGAAAAAAAAAAAAAAAAAAATAGGAACCCCAGCCTGGATGCGGTGCCACACGCCTATAACCCTCGTACTCAGGGAGCAGAGGCAGGAGGATTGCTGCCAGTTTGAGGTCATCCTGGGCTACACAGTAAGGTCAAGGTCAGGCTGAACTACAGAATGAGACCCCAGCAAAAAAAAAGGAAAGAAAGAAAGAAGAAAAGGAAGCATTTTCAAGATTTCTTTAATATGCTTTTCTGGATTGTCATCTTTTTGTTTTACATTAATTCAAAATAAATGTAATTGTCATTCTTGAAAAAAAAAATAACATACTTTGTTTACCAATAAGAAAAAGAGTTTTATGACTGAGGATACATTCTATAATAGAACATTTGCCTAGCGTGCCAGATCTTGGGTCTGATTTCCAGCTGTGAAAGAGGAAAAAACAAATTTTTCTTTTAATGTTTGAGACAGGGTCTCATTATGTAGTTGAGGTTGGCTTTGAACTCACTCTGTAACCCATGCTGGCCTCAGACTCACAGAGATCCTCCTGCCTCAGCCTCTGTGTGTTGGTTGGGATTACAGGTGTGCGTCACCATTTTTTTTTTCTTGGTGGAACTGAGGATTGAACTCAGGCCCTTGTGCTTGCCAAGCAAGTGCTTATTCTACTGAGCTATCTCCTCGGTCCCAAGAGAGAGAATTTTTAAAGTGACTAACCTAGTTTTAAAAAATGTTTTAAGGTGAAAGGGACAATCTCATTTATTGGAGGTAGGACAGAAAATTCATACAATATTTCTGAAAAATGTCTAGAAATATTTACTAACAGCCTTTATTGCCATAAACCTGAGACAGCACCCTAAGAAACAAGCTTACATGTTGGCAGGCGGGCATCATTTTCTTCTTTGGGGAAAAGCCCTACTTATAATAGCATTGTTACTTGTAAATACATTCTTATCTATCATAGCAACATATTTATAAAGTAGAAAACTGGAAACAAAAGTCCAAGGCAGGACCAGGGATATAGCTCAGCGGCATAAGTGCCTGCCTGGCAAGCACAAAGTCCTGAGTTCAATCCCTGGCAATGCAAAAAAAAAAAAAAAAAAAAGAATTTCAAAAGTCCGAGGCAAAACTAAGTATATAATAGTACCACTATAGAGCAAGGTGTTAAACAGCTAATTAAAATGTAAACAATATTTTGATACAGAAAGATGTTTATGAGAAAAGGTTAAACAAAAAAAAAATAAATAAAAATGCTCCTAATTGAGTTAAAACAATAAGCACAAGTCAGGCTGGGAGTACAGCTCACAGCAGCCCAAGTGTAACATATACAAGACTCTGGGTCACATCACCAGTACCGGATGCCCCCAAAAGCATCATGGTCAGAATCAGAATCAGAATCAGAAAACAAAAAAATGGGAAGATTCCAGAGTTTTCCAGGTGGTTACTTCTGTCCTGAAGATTATGGGTGATTTTTGTTTCTTCTTGGTATATTTAAAACTACTTAACATCTTTGAAATAGCTGCTGATTACTATTTTTATAACCAAGAAAAAGAACCAAAGGCAAAGAAGTAACAAGAGAAGTGGCTGTCCTAGGCGGCAGCTCCCCTTGACTCTGATGAAGCGGGTGACGCAGATGACCTTCTGTCCACAGGGCCCACACTGCTGAACAACTCAGTTGTTGTCTCTGCTCTTGGGTTTTTATGAGGGCACCTGACAAACGCCTAGGCTGCAGGCGATGGAACTCAAGGCTGAGAATGACCAGTGGGTCCAGACCAGGAAAGGAGTACAGGTGCATCCTACCTGCTCCACCTGCTCAGTACCCAGCAGGGAGGCAGACAGTACAGTCAACAACCTCACCTTCCCTGCCCCAGGGCACATGATGCATGACGTCACCTGTGGTTATTTTCCCAACACCCCTTCCAGCCTCAGTCCTGTTAAGATGAAAGTCACACAAAGAAAAAGAGAGTTGCTGAGCCTGTTTAAATCACGAGAAGCCAGTGTATCCCCAGCTGTAATGAATGAGGTGAACTGAGTTCATGATTCATGAGAACAGAGTGCTGGTACCGGTTCTGTTTAACAACCACCATGCCTCGTGTGTGAGTCCTGAGTCCCCGGGAGAGCCCCCACATGTTCTGCAGAGTCCCCCAGCAGCCCTGACAAGCAAGAATTCACATCACCTCTTTTACCTTATAGCAAGGAGGTTTGCAGAAATCAGACTTGCTGGTGAGCAGTAAAAGTGAGACTTTATAACCAGAAAAGAGGAGCAGAGGACAGCAGGTGAATGGGGAGGTCTTGGGCCTATGAAAGGGTCAAGATGACCAGGTTTTAGCCAGCTAAGCAGAAGCCAAAGGTCAGAGTTAACAAAGCCAAGTGGCATGAGGTCCAGAGAGGTGATGGATAAAGTGACAGCAAGGAGGGGAACCCCCTCATTAACAACCCTGGTCCTGCATTTGTAGAAAACTTTTCTCCTCACTTTTTTATTTTAGTGAACCACTTGGATAGTATAGTGGACAAGAGGCTGCTGCAGACATAAGCTTGCTATGTACCTCAAATCTATGTAGGTCCATTTTTATTTTAAGTAAAACAGTTTTATCACTATATACTTATCAAGGGGA